GGCTCATACGGGAAATTACCCTCTGCCTCTAATTGAAGAACATTGAACATTGAACATGAGAATATGGCAAATTGTTAAGTTGTGCAGACACTTCATGGTTAGTGGTTTGAGTTCATGAAACTCAGCCGGAGCGCGATGTATCCTTGTGGTGGAAGAATCTGCGGTTCCTGAGTGTTCGCTTATCTATCAGGTATTTGGACTGCACGAGTCGACGTGAATTAAGTGTTTCGAGTTCTTACCAGCTATAGTAGGTTTGGAACTCTCAATTTCATTGAAGTAATATAGATAATACACAACAGACAGTCATTCTTTGACCAGAAAGATTTGGTTGGTGTAGTGTACCTTCCTTTATTTTTGTTTTTCTAACCCTAATGAGCGGAATATTTGATCAGACCGGTGGATTCCGATAACGTAATATTGATGTCCCAATGATGCTGAACATATAGTGCCTAAGGTTGTTCGATTGAAAAGCAAGTTCGAGATAAAATCATTTCAGAAAATCGGATTCTTTTAAAGTTCTTCCTTGAAGCCCTTGAATGAGAAGCACTTTTTCATTGGAGTGTTTTGTTGTTTGTTAGAATAAGAGTGCAAATGGGTTTTATCACTCATTCATCCATGGTTCATTCGAAGATTGAATTTGGATGATGTTTGTGATCAGAAGACAGAATACACGTTTGAAAACCGTTGATTTCCATGTGACAACAAAACAAACAATCACTGTACGGATCGGACACTATCGCTGTTAGAGACTCTCTAGCATTACACAGCATCTGCTGGCTTCCTAACTCATTTTCCCAAAAAATTGATCATAGGTTTCATTCCAGGCTCAAAGAAGAATCACTAGAGACGTGTGTTTGGGACTTAGATCGCTCGAATTCGGATCAGCACATGCTCGGCGGCTTCGAGTGCCTCAGAGCCGGTGAGTACTAAACAACCTGGACGAGATCATGAGACTGTAAGTTCAGGTCCGTGTGTGTGTGAGGCGGCACACCCATTCAGTGAAATTCGTCAACGACGCTCTTAGTGATCGAGACAGCCACCCACCCACGTTCGTTTTCTCACCTTTCGTGTTCATCTGACCCATTACACACACACACACACACGGTGTAAATGAGTTGTGACAGTATAATCGTACTGCTCGTAAAAAACAGCAGTGCTACACATCCACGCGCACGCAATGTGAACGAGAATGAGCGAAATCGACATCGGGGAATAGAAGTGACGGTCTGAAATGTGAGTATATATAAATACACTCTGACGTACAACATCAAACAAGTAGAGCAAAAACGATCAAGTAGGTTAGTGAGGTGAAAACTATTGTTGTTGTTGTGTCGAACAAACGTGGTGCAATGTCGGTTGGACTGAGTGTAAACACAAACACACATTCGTTCACGTATAACATGTCCAAGTAGTTTTAGTCACAGAGTCCGAGCTTCATATATAGATTCCATTCACATCGAACAGAAAGCCATAGGAGTTCACAGATGAAGATGTTAAGCGTGATAAGAATCCGGAAAAGAATGGTACCAGGCAAACAAATACAATTTTTTAATGTATGTATACGTATATATTATTTGAACTTCACCGATACTCACTGCATCAGTCCTATGTGAATGTAGTAGTAGTAGTCGAGTTGTGATTGTTTCCAACCAAGTCATAACCCTGGAGGCTAGTACCGAGATGAGCGAGGTTTGTGGCCTGCAACAAGCTCGCAAAGATGGGTTGTAATATATTGTGTACATGGAAAATGAAAAAAGGTCTGATCAGCTGTCCGGTGGCCTAGTCGGTAGCATGCTTGCGTTCTGCCCATGAGGTCCCGGGTTCGAGCCCTAGTTGAGTTGATGGATTTGCCCTGCTGATGAGAC